AAAAATAAAATCTCTTTGCCAAAGCAGAGGGGATAAGGAAGTGATGTCAGGTCCATCCACAAATGATTTATCAGTGGAGGTACAAGGTAGCTTCTGCCAGGTTTCAGCTCTTTTGTGGAGTTTGGTTTCATTTTTATTGAGATATAACTGACATGTTAGTTTCAGGTGTCCAACATAATGGTTCGATGTTTGTATATATTGTGAAATGATCATTACAAGTCTAGTTAACATCCATCCCCACACCTAGTTACAAGTTTTTTTCTTGTGATGAGAACGTTCAAACTCTACTCTTTCTCTTTTTTTTTTATTTGTTTTTTATTGAAGTATAGTTGACTTACAGTATAAGATTCAGGTGTACAGCAAAGCAATTCAGTTATACATGTCTATGCATTTTTTTCAGATTCTTTTCCATTATATGTTATTAGAAGAAATTGAATATAGTTCCCTGTGCTGTACAGTAGGTCCTTGTTGTTTATCTACTTTATATACAGTAGTGCGTGTCTGTTAATCCCAAACTCCTAACTCAAATTGGCAATACAATATTATTAACTATAGTCACTATGCTGTACATTACATCCCCGGGACTTCTTTGTAACTGGAAGCCTGTACCTGTTGGCCCCCTTCATCCATTTCATATACACCCCCCCAGCCCCCGTGGGGTTTTTAATTGAGTGAGAAGGACGGTGGGGGGCGGGGGCGGTAGTGGAAGGAACATGCTCTCAAAGTAGGGAGGAAGATGGGGATGACCAGAGTGTGGCTGCTTCCTGAGTGTGTGTGTGTGTGTGTGTGTGTGTGTGTGTGTGTGTGTTTAATGTCTCTGTGGTTCTTGTCAACAGTATTAATGTTATATTTTTAGCTCCTCTGTTTATGATTTTGGCAGGAAGAATACAGCAGATTATGGGAGAAGAATTTCTAAATTCCATCAGAGCCCCAACCATGAAGTTTATAAAGCCAAGTATAAAAAAGGATAAAGTGTCTTTATTTGCTTCATTGTTATGAATTCATTGGGCCTCATAGGCCCAAAATGTTGTAGCATTTTTCCATAAGCGTTAAGCAACCTACTCATTATTGACATTAGACAAAGCAATGCTCTGGCTTCACTAAGGCAGTGAATCAGGCCACTCTTTGTTTTTTACAACTGTGGTTTAAAATGTCTTAGAATCATATTTATACTCCAAATCCTAAAGGCATTAATTAAGACACAACAGCTCAAAGGCTAGCATTGTAAATCATGTCCATATCCAATGGGTAAAGTCAGAGAATTACAGGGACTTGTACACAATTTATGTGTTTTCCTCTGCTTCTGAAACTCCTTTTATTTTGAAAGGGGAAATTAGGGAGAGAGAGAGACGCTTGAGGGAAAAATGATTCCTGTAAAACAGGGCTACCCCTAATTATGTTTTCAGGACATCATCAAGTGCAGCTTGAGAAAAAAACTGAAATATTTGATAGCTGTGTGAAAAATATCTGTATCTGTATTACAGCCAGAGTAGCTGTGCTCTCTTTAAAAGCCATTATGTGAATGTTTTTCATGGAAGTATCATCGAGCAGAGAGGTTTGGGAAGGCATGGAAGTGAAATCACCAGTGGATTTGGGGGCAGCTATTGAGAACCCCAATGTTTAAAGCCAAGATTAGATGCTATCAAGGACATTATTGCTCACTTGACAAAACTGGCATAAGAATGTTAGCTTACGTGAAAGTATACTGGTAAGTTTGCTGACGCTGATAATAGTACAATTTTCTGATAATATCCATATTATAGCAGCCCAGGTGAATGAAAAAAGGATACCAGGCACCCCAGAAGCTGGGCAGACCTTAGGGTGTGGTTTTTTGAAAGAAGGTAGCAAGACTTTTTAAATAAATACACAAAAACCTAGTCCTTAACTATCTAATGAATGTGATATAATACAAAATATTGTCTACTGTTATTTATTCTAAAAAGCTAAACCATGAAGTAAATCATTTACTATAGTGAACAAAACGTTACATTTTCATCTTTATACATTTTAGCATTTTAGGATTCAGTATTTCTCAGTGTGTGCGAATCGCGTGAGAGCCGTAAGGGGTAAATTACTTCCATCTCAAATTGCAGCTTCTGAGGCTGTAAAGAGCTCAGTTTACATTCTTTTGAAAATGAGCTTTAATTGTGTGGCTTTTTTAAAACTTCTAAGCTCTGAAGATACTAAGATCTTCCCTGTTCTTTCATTTCTTCGCATTTATTCATTAGAAGGTAAAATGTGCAGTTGACTGGTGCTGACCGCTCCTGTCCTCATCTGTCAGAGATTTATTTCTCTTTTATCAGTCCCTTTCCAAACAGCTTAATCAGAATTTCAAAACCCTACTGATTTTAAATATCACATACTAATTACTTAATTGATCTATTAAATTTTTCAGATTTGTTTTTCATTCTTTGTCCAGCCTGTGAGTGACTGGTGGGGTGGGATGGGGGTGTGTAGAAGCTTTTCTTCATCCTCCATGTGGCGAGTACAGGGGATGAAGCGTGGACCAAACCCCTACTTCTCCACCATCCCTGCCCCGCCCAGCAGAGGATGCCGGGTCTGATCCTCCGTGCCTTCATCCCTCTCATCTCCAAGAGACCCCAGGCTGCGTGCACGTGTGCCGGCATGAGAGACCTGGGGCTCTGTGCCCCGACTGACCTTTACAGCGTCCGTGAAACGCAGATTTAACTCGGAGACCCTGTGAAGTTGGACCCCGTCAGAAGCAGGGGATGTGTTTCTGCAGGAAAAAGCTGGAACTGGGACAGCATCAGTAACCACAGTGGCTCTGGCCTCTCCGCCTTGGGCCACCCAGCCGGCTTCCCCTGCTTTTTTTAGTTTTTCTTCCCTGATAACTTGGTCTTACGTGGGGCTTGGGCTTGCCCTGACCCCTTCTACTTTACCTTCACGTCAGACATTTCAGTTTTTTTCCCAAGCTGCATTTGATGATGTCTTGAAAATAGAATCAGTGAACCTTGTTTTACAGGCAGTCAGCTTCTGTTCCTCCTGTGTTTTTCTTTTAAACTTTACACAAGACTGGATAAGGCAGAGTACAAGAGCACAGCTGTGTCTGTCGGACCCAGCTCCGTTCTGCGACCAGCCACCTCATAGTTGTCAGCCTGTTTAGGGGGTGCTGCCTGGGGTGGGGAGTCACTTGCTCTCTAGGGAGGCCCCTTCTGCAGGGCTGTTTCCTTCAGAAGAGGCACGGACGTGACGGTGACCGTGACCGTGGCAGAGGCTTGACAGCCCAGCACAAACCACCCTGCTCCTCACTATTCAGAGTTAACCGTTCACTGACTGAATTTACCCACTTGAATTATTGTCTTGATGCTGTCTATAAAGGGCCTAAGTAACAATGGGAGGTGAACCTGAAACCAAGTAAGAGATCTCTTTCCGGGAGGCTGGTGGGTTTGGTTCGGTTTCCTTCAGATACTGCTGGTTCTTGCTGTTAGCATCAGCTCCTCGAGCTTTCCCTGGGATCTTTACCCTAGAAAGATGCCTCTCCTAGGAGTTCTCTCCTGAGTTATAAAACCTTACTGTTGAGTGTCTCCTCTGGATCAGGCATTGTGATTGGCCTTGGGAACATAAAATGGCAAACAAATCAGATGCAGCTCCTGCCTCGTCAGAGTTTAAATCTTAAGGGAGAAGTCGGCACTAAATAAATAACTGTGCCAATCCAATGGATGGGTGCTGTGAGGAAGGCGCTTGGGTGCTTTGGCCTCCCTGAGCAGCCACGTTTAAGCTGAGACCTGAAGGATGTTAGACGTAGTCACTTAGAGGAGGAGAGGAGGCGTTTCCGGCAGAGAGAATACAGCCCAGATTGCACTCCCTGGTCATGTAGTCTGGAACACTGCCGTGTTCCTCAGTGCTGAGTGTGGCCATGGCCGGGCTTTTTATATATATATATGTGTGTGTGTGTGTATTTACACATTCATTTGCTTTATTTTTTCAATTTCATACATAACAGTATTTGTCTTCCGTCTGTGGGCATTCTTTTTTTTTTCATTTTCTTTTTTTTTTTTAACATTTTTTATTGATTTATAATCATTTTACAATGTTGTGTCAAATTCCAGTGTAGAGCACAATTTTTCAGTTATACATGAACATGCATATATTCATTGTCACATTTTTTTCTCTGTGAGCTGCCATATGTGGGCATTCTTAAATGACTCACTCCCACGATCGTGAGCTCCTGCAGAGCAGGGACGTCCAGGTCGAGGCTCCTACTCAGTAAATAAGAGGAGCTGGTCCTAGACAGTCTTTGAGCCGCTTTCTGTTAGACTTTGTTTATATTAACATGGGACATATTGCTCACGCAAAGGTCTGAAGTCACTTGAGTTTTCAAAAGCTGCTTCCCCAAGGAGGCCAGGTGCCATGGTGGCCGCCGTGGGGAAGGCTCTTTGCCAGGTCAGCACGTCCTCGCCCGGCCTCCCCTGCACATCTCCATGTTGTGCTCTTCACCCTGTTGGGCTCGTCCTGGAGTCAGAGGGCCCGGCCAGCGGGGCACGGACGCAGTGTCCACGAGGGGTTTGTCCGGGCTTCTGCAGAGATGAGGGATCCTGATCAACTGTAAGCTTGGAAATAAACTGTAAAAGCAGAAACCCTGTAACCAGGTTTTATTTGTTCATGGGTTTATTGAAACATTTGTTCCTTCACCAGTTACACGTTCAGCCAAGTCGTGTGCTGAGCGCTGAGGTCACACAGCTGAGTGTGACGAGGCCTCTGCCCTCCAGGAGCCTGCTAGAGGGGTGGGGCGGGGGGGGGGTTGTGGAGGACCGGGCCAGTGGGAGCACCTGCACCAGATGGAGCTGTTCAGAGCACGAGTGCCTGGGCCCCAGAAATGCCCCTGAATGTCTAAATGCATGAAGTGTGTAAACTTCATTGCATGGGCCTTGTGGCTTCTGTTCTGGCTGCAGAGGCCGTTCCCTATGTCTGTATCAAGCTCTAGAGAGAGAGCCCGTCCCGAGCTGAGCTCCAGGCAGGTGAGTTCATATCCGACATCAGTGTTTGTTTGTTTTTGCCGATTTCTAGCGTTATTAGGGATGCTGTTGAATAACTTGGTTAAATCCCCAGACTTCCCTGTTGTGAAAGCGTATCTCTTTCCCTTTATAAGTGATTTATAGGGTAGTATCTGATACGTGTGAATATCTTTTTCCTCAAGAACCTCTCAGTGTTTTAGTCAATGGATGAACTTTCCTGAATCAGTTACGTGTGTTGCAACAGTGTGACTTTTCTAGTTGTAGCATTTCTTGGGCATTTACTAGCTGTCAGTGTTCCGTAAAGATTTTTAGATCCTGCCTCTCCCCTGCCCATCATCATGAACTAGCTTTGCATTTATTCAGTGCCTTGTAATGCATTACAGCCGTTAGTCTTTATGCTATGCAACCAGTCCAAGTGTGGCCGGTTGGGAGCCCCTTCAGGCTGGCCTCTGTGTCCTTTGACATGAATCCTTGAGCACATTCTCCCAGGCCCACCCTGTCCTTTCCCTGCCCCACCCCTGCGATCAGCCAGATCTCAAGAAGCCCTTTTATTGCAGAATAACATTGAGAAACTAGGACTTGGGCACCAGGAGTGCCTGTTGTTACAGAGATGTCACGGCTCCTAGACTCTTTCAGTGGCTAAAACTAGGAAATGCATTAAAAGAGAGGGAAAAAAAGACATTTGTATTGGTACTTCTCCTGAAGTGTTAGTCTGTTATAACGTCTAGGTTAGAAATTCAATTACGGTGATGCTCTGAGCTCATCATAGAACCTTAACTCTTAAAGAAAACTTAAAATCCCTTTGTATCTGTTACTCTCATCTCTCCAGAGGGAGAAAGGACAACTGCATTAATCTCATGTTACTTGAGGGGGGAAAAACCGTGCTCAGAAAGTTCAGTAAGTCGTCCAAGATGATGCTATCGTTTTGTTGAGCGCAGTCTTTCTAAGTGTATTTGTGGTACTTCTGTGATGGGAGGGGGTTGCTGGCAGTATCTCTTCTGTGTTTTAGTAAATTCCTTTTCTCTATCATTTGCTATATACCTAAAAAGTGCTTTTAACGTTGCCAATCTTCATGATTTATTCTGGTTGCTTTCAGGTGCAGCCAGATCCAGTCCAGCATCTAAACCAGGATCCACACCTTCTCGTCCCTCATCAGCCAAAAGGGCTTCGTCCAGCAGCTCAGCATCCAAATCTGATAAAGATTTAGAAACGCAGGTCATACAGCTTAACGAACAGGTAACCGGTCCTCCTGACCCTGTCTCGGGGAGCAGTGACAGGTGTAAGGGGTGAGACGAGCAGGGCCTGGGATGGGGAGGGGACGGGATGGAACCAGTGGTTTCAGGCAAGTAAACATGAAAGGGACCATTGGGGCAGATAAAATCAGGGGCCTATTATGAGTAAAAGATGTTAAGTCACCAATCTCAACGTTGCACATAAAGACAGGACAGATGACTTAGCCTCAGGTAAATGCAGGTGTGCAGGCCACCCCGCCCTGCCACCTCAGTGCCTAGCAGGAGCTCCAGGCTAGACCATGGCCATCTGCCCACTTCTAGCCAGTCTAGATGGTGCTTAAGGCATTAGGGGCTGTCTCCCTCCTTCCTTCCTTTCTTTCAGCAACTCTTGGTTAAGCCTGTCCTATGTGACAGACACTATGTTTGATGCTAATAATATAATGGCAGCAATATAGTGGCACCTTCCCTTCCCTGAAAGAACTTCCAGACGGCAGTCACACAGCATAGGCTGTTACACAAGCCAAAAACCAACACTTCCCGCCAGAGCACTGAACACAGTGATGGGGGATCAGAAAGGCCACACTCATAGAGAACTTTCCTTTTTATCTAGTATCCTTAGCATTACAGTAAATCTAGCTCTACTGCCTTTGCAGTTTTCAGTGTGAAAGCTTGGGTACGGTTTCTAACTAACAGCAGCGAATTTTGCCTAAGATTATACAGAGTTTAGAAGTAATAAGAAGCTGCCCCTCCTCCCCCTGAGTTGGGAGGAGAGTTTTACCCCGGCCCCTCCCACCCCAGGAGGGCAGCCTTTACATTCCAGGTCCTCAGGCTGTTCCCAGCCACTCACCCAGCCAATCCCAGTGATTAATCTGATTCTTGATGAGCCAGCAAGAGTCTGGGAACAGTTTTTGAGATAATTGTATATTTGCAAACAAGAATCTGGTCTGAAAGCAAGCAGTTGCTTAACTGGGGTGTTTCTTTACAACCTGGAACGCTTTCACGAAAAAAGTAAAACCGTAAGTCATCCGGTGGGTAGGACTTTGATTTAGAAACTGTGGACTGCTCTCATTCCCTGCCGGTTCTCTGCTGGAGCCCTTATACAATTTCCAGTAGTAAGTTCTTCTAAGGAAAACGGCAGTTAGGACAGCTGTGATCAGCCTTGGGCCACACGCCTGAGGCTCCCAGCAAGTCAGGGTGGACCTAACGTGCCTCAGGCGTGGGTCCAGGATACTTTGGATTTATAAACCTTTTTTCCTTAGGAACTCAAATTCTTTGGATATCTTTATTATCTCATATTTCTTCATCTTCATCTGCCCCTACCACGCCCAGGTTCCCCACCCACCAACCCAAAGTAGAACCACGTGGGAACCTTGAGACCCTTCCTGCCCCGCCCTCCCTTACAGCCTTGCCCACCAGCCCCACCTCCTCTCCTTGGGGCTCTAGGCTCCCATTAGCTCTTGAGTCACACATACAGCCATCCATCCCCTCAGGACCCAGCCCTCTGTGATGCTTCAGCTAAATTGTCCTACCGTCCAGAACGGCACTCTGGAGAAGACTGAAAAGAC